CAGAGGGCACGTCAAGTTGTGTACTGGCCAGGACTTTCAAACGATATTGACAATATGGTCAGGAACTGCCCCCAATGCCGCCGCTACCGATCGTCGCAACAAAAGGAGCCCCTTCTGCGCGACCCAGTGCCAACCCTGCCCTACTTACGTGACTGTGTAGATATTTTCAGCTGCAGCGGAAACAGCGATATCGTCTACACGGATCATTTATCCGGTTGGCCGTGTATTGATCGCCTAGCACCGGGCACCAGATCAAAGGACGTGATCCGGCCGCTTTGCCAGTGGTTTTCTGACGTCGGCGTCGGCGTGTGGCAAGTACGTCATATCCGGTCCACCCCCCCCCCCCCCCCCCCACTATCCGCAGGTGAATTGGACTGCAGAGGCGGCTGTCAAAGCCATGAAGCATCTGGTGTACAATACCAATACTACCACCGGAGAAGACCTGAATGTGGACGAGTTCAGGAGGGGACTGCTAGAATGGAGGAATACACCCGAGGTAACGGCCGCAGCCGCTCACAGATATTGTTTGGCCGACCACTACAGTCCTTTGTGTTCGGCAAACACCGCACGTTTGCTACAGAGTGGCAGGCCAAAGCCGACAAGGCTGACGAAACAGATTCGGCTGTCCGAGAGCGAGCGATGCGCGGTATAATGCCTCCGCGTGACCTCTGGGCAACCTTAAGATCGGCGAGACGGTGGACATTCAGGACCCACGTTCCAAGCTGTGGACACTGCAAGGACAAGTTGTCGCTATTGGAAGGCGACGTGACTATTATGTCAAACTGACCAGCGGCCGTGTGTACTGGCGCAATAGAAGGTTTCTGCGCCCATGTCAAACCTACTGGCCAGATGTCCCCCCGACTACAGGCGATTGTTCTATTAGAGCGCCATCGGGGCCCAGCATCCCCAGAAGTGCGGCGGAGCTCCCACTCCCATTGACTGAGACAACCCAGGTGCGGCGCAGTCAAAGGCAGAGAAGGCCAGTTGATAGGTTCGATATCACATCAACCCGCTGGCAGTCTTATTCATAGATACTGAAGCTTTCGGTATGATTGACTCGACCTGCATGCGATGGATGGCAATAAAAGGAACAGAGGACACTGCCAGAACAGCCACAATTGACTACGAAAATGTGCCAACTTCCAGCTACATGGCAGGATTCCAAATCGGAAGGCCAGTTCGAAGAGCTTGGTGACTGCTGGGGCCAGCTCACGACAGCATTCCTTCAGGACCCAAGTTGGAAGGCCATCAGGGCCAGTAGCTTTGCAAGGGTTGAGCCTGGCTAGCCGTCACTGGACATCGGACACTCGAAAATGGATACGATCTAGGCTGCCATGCAAAGGTTGAGCACTGGGAGTGCGTGAGTCTGGAGATATGTCACGATCTCCAAGACTACACTTCGTGGCAAAGTATCTTGCTAAGCAGTTGGCTTTGTCATCGCTGGAGTGGAACTCCCTCTTACTTTGGTCCACAAGTAGCGGAATCTCACTTGCACAGCTTAGACCAGCAGCTTGCTTCACCATAGTCCACCACCCTGTGTCCATAAATGACCCAGACGTGAGCTTATTGCGGAGCCGGCTCTCAAAGGAGACTCTGGCCCGGTGGAACCGGGCAGCGCAGAGGTTGACAGACTCAATGCATGAGGACTTGATGTCCAAGTTGCCAGGGTTACATCGCCAAGCTGTCCAGGCGCTTTCCTTTGCATGTAGGGCATCATCACATTCCGGGGTCCACCAGCGTGGGTCTGATGAGTGAGTGTGATGTTCTCGGTTTGGGATAAACCTCTTCATGCCTGCGCTGATCACTTGTGTGAGCCTAGAACAGGACTCCTCAGGATCACCCGAAACTAGTGTTGAAACGATCTCACCGGGTACTCGTTAGCTCGCTCGCCAGAAACTCGGCTCGTTTGTTCGGCCAGCTCGTTTGTTCGGCCAGCTCGTTTGCACTAAAGAACACCGTACTCCGTACATATGGCAGTACATGTCGACCGGGGAGTCGTAAAATATTCTTTGACTCCCTGGTCGATTGAGAGTCCAGTCCCACGCAAAGTGAAAATCACTCGCAGTTACATTGACTGTATGAATGCACAACACTGAGTTGTTTCAGTTGTCTTTGCAGCTTTGATGGACTCCACTGATGTGTTGTTCCGCATCTGCTGAACTGTCACAGGGCATGCTTCTGTCAACTCTCCATTCGAGTGAAAGTTATGCTCTGTCGTTTGGAAGTTTTCTCCCACGATGCAGCGAAGAACAGGGCTGCTTACAATCTTTGCAAACGGTCTATTCTTTTAAAGGCTGCTCAAAGACGGCGCTGAAAAGACATCGCGACGCCAAACAGCAGTCCAAAGTGAGGCAACAGCAACCCCAAATGCCGGCGGTGATAATTTGAACCAGCTGAATTGAAAACAAATCAGGGAAAAATATTTTAAATCATATTTTGTCACATCAATGAAACTCGTTAGCTAGCTCGATAGCTTGCTCGTTAGTGGAACTGTTCGCTCGTTTGTTATAGATATGCTCGTTTCAACACTACCCAAAACTATCGCGTTCCAGTCGGCTGCCCTCAGAAAGGCACGGAACCGACCCCAGTCTGCACGGTTGTACCTCCATTGTGTTCTAACAGCTGCGGGCTCTCGCCGAGGAGAGACGGTAAGCAAGTCTGAGATCAGCACGACATGATCTGACTATCCTATTGGTGCATGAGTTGTGGTTGTGACAGGACAGACAAAGTCAGAGAGGATGAGGTCCAGGGTGTTGTTACCTCGAGTTGGCTTATCGATGTGCTAGGTGAGTTGGTGTGCTGCACAGAGTTCTTCCAAAGCCTCGCCGGCAGCGGTTGTCTTCGAACTGTGCAACCACTCAGCGTGGTGGCCATTGAAGTCATCGGCTATGACAATGTTGGTGCCAGTACTGCGTATGTTGTCCAAGTTCTGGTCCAGGTGCTCCACTAGGGATAGGTCATTTGCAGCTGATGTTCCAGGGCAGTAAACCGCTCCCAAAGTCATTTTTCTCTTGTGCCCCAGGGCTACAGACACCCTAAAGATCTCATGAGTTCCATTCTCCAGCGCTTGGAGATGGGCAACCGAGAGTTCTGACCTCGTCCAGACTGCAACTCCACCTCCAAAGACATTCCTGCCCTTCCGAGTTGTCGTGTAGCCAGGGATCGTCACCTCAGCTGGCTACACACATGGCATGAGCTGGCATGTTGCATCAAACTTGGTTTCGGTCACAACAGCGATGTCAACATTGTGATGCGTGACAGTGTGGAAAAATTCTCCAAATTTGTTTGCTAAGCTAAAAGCATTAGTCACCAAGAGGCGCAGTGCCCGGTCACGTGTGTGTACCATCATCTTATTTCTTCGCAGCTGGCTCATCGCTTGACAGCGGTGAGTCCTGAGCATGGGGCCGCTTGTTCCCTCTACTGGGGGTGCTGAGGCTCATGGCGGTGTTGCCAGAGTCAGGCTTCTCATGTTCGCTAGCTTGTGTTGCGGACGGCAGTGAAGTGGCTTCAGCAGACTTCTCACGACTTTCCCTCAGGAAGTCGGCAATGCTAGCGTTGCACTGCTGCTGTGGCTGATTCTGGCTTGCGTTGCCAGTGGTGCTTGTCTGCGGTACGGAAGATTCTGGAGTGCTGCTGTTGCTGCTGCTGTCGCTGTTACTGCCGCTGGTGCTATCGCTACTGCTGCTGCTGTTGCTGCTGCTTTTGCTGCTGCGGTTTCAGCCAGAGTTGGAGGAGAAACGCCACAGTCGGCAGTACAAAGGCGTAGGCCAGAAGTTGGGGCGTTCACAATAGGCATGGAGGTGGGATCTACGGTGACTCTGGCTGATGCTCTTCCACTCTCTTCTTCATGTGCACTGCATGTGTGCACGGGAATGGAAGAGCCTGGCATTGCCTGTTCGCTTCTGTCCACGATGAACTGTATTAGACGGTCATTTGTGCAATCCGGCGAGATATTGCCCACGAAGGCAACAGAGTGCTTGGTCTTGGGTGGTCCTGCAAAGACCAACTTCCAAGACTCGTCCGTGATGGAACTGAAAACGGGCTTTGACTCGTGCCTGACAGGCAAGAGTTCAGTATCCTCTGCGTCAGAGTCCGTGTCCACTGAGGGCACTGTCTGGCTTGTGTGCTGGGGTGTGGAAGCGCTACGGGTACGGGGTTCAGTGTGCGTTTCCACGGGTTTTACCTGCTGCTTTGGCAGCTTTGCACTCGCACTTTCGCCCGGCTTCGACTTTCCAGCTCTACTGGTACGGGTACTCTTGTTCGTAGTACTAGTACTACCTGCACTCTCCTTGCCTTTTGAATTTTGTTGCTGGTGGTCGACATGGGCAATGGCGGACTGCCTGAAGGAACTCAGTTCGCTTCGCAATTCTGTTATGTGCGCACATAGCTCATCCACACGCCGTTTCACGCGCTTCTTTCGATTTCTTGACTCACTAATATGTGCCGATAGTTGCTGGAGAGAGGTAAGCATATTGGCTTCGATGCCATACAACGATCATGATGCCTGCTTGCATCCCCCACCTCCATTGTAAGAAAACAAGGTGGCAAATGAAGGAAAGAGAAAATAGAGAGGGTGGGATGATGGGGAAAAAGTAAAATGTAATTTTAGCAAATCAAGAAAAAACTAAAATTTAGGACAGCTCCTTCAAGTCCAGACAGTTGTTAAGAACTTTAAGACATATAAGTCGATTTGTAATCATAAAAATGCCTGTAAAAATTGACCAACTTGTAAACTGTTCAGGGACAGCAATATGACACACACTCAAAGCACTATGCCTATAATACCCGTGTGCCTGGGCTAACTAAGCTTTCCTGTACAAAGCCCACATCTTTTTTTCTAATTCGTGCAATTCTTGCATGAGCAACTGAGCTTATGTATGATGCAGACATACTGTATCATTCTGTACAGGGAAACGTTTGAAATGTTAAAATGAAGTTTTGTCCATGCTGTTCTTTTCTGTTGGTGTATTGTGTTGTGATGTACATGTATGTACCTGTAGGTCACCACACTGGATGGTACATACATACGTGATATAGGCAAACAGGGCAGTGGTAATGCTGAATTCAACCTCCCCACTGATGTAGCTGTGGATGACGATGGTGATCTTGTGGTGGTTGACAACAAAAACAAGAGACTGCAGGCAAGATATAATGGTTGATTAGTGCGATTCCACTTCTGTTTAGTTACACAATGTTGACTGGAAGTTCAGTACAGATAGCAGTCTTCCATTGTTCACATAGTACTAGAGTGTACAGTATGATCATAGTACTAGAGTGTACAGTATGATCATAGTACTAGAGTGTACAGTATGATCATAGTACTAGAGTGTACAGTATGATCATAGTACTAGAGTGTACAGTATGATCATAGTACTAGAGTGTACAGTATGATCATAGTACTAGAGTGTACAGTATGATCATAGTACTTTTTTTTTTCTTTTTCTTTTTTGAACACTCTAGCCTCTTGTTCGTGCAAAATAACACATTTTGTGAAGAATCAACACATAAAACGAATCATCAGATACAGTATTTACAGAGTCTGCCACTCAGTAGGATCACTGCACTGTGCAGGTTCACTGGATGCGTGCCTCCGCCGCCACTAGCACAGCAGGGGACTCAGGCATGGCAGGAGCAAACATGCTCCTTGAGCCACGCAGGCACATAGCACCACAACGCACCAGGGCAAACCCAAGGCGGCAGCGCAGCAAGGAGATAATCTGCCCGTATGGCTCCTTACTCTTCTCAGCCAGGAGAGAGGCGATCCGCGTGAAAAGAGCATTGGCATGCTTGCCATAGCCACCAGAGGCAGAGAGCACAACGGGCACGAAGGAGGCATGCTCAACTTCACGTACTCGCTCCTCGTACTTCCCGCGCTTTTCCTGTTCATGGCGTCTGTAGCTAGCAGCGAGGGAGGTGGCGCGATTCGAAGACGCAAAAGGGTTGAACACCCGTACATCAATAAAGATGCGCTCGAATCGGCCACCCCACACACCACTAGCCGCAACATCCAGCCGAGCTTGCTCCTCCGTGACAGCTGTGCGATGGCGGAAGGCCTCTCCGGTGACGGGCTGGAGGTGGGGTTCCACTGTCACGTTGTGAGCGACCTGCCTTAGAGCTCTGGCGGTGATGACACACGCAGAGGCTTGGGAGCCGAGGAGGTGTCCAGCCGTACCGGAGGCACAGGCCATCCCGGAAATCTCCCTTGCTGAGTGTGAAACCATGGCGGCTGAGGGGGCGGCAGGTCAGCCAGCTGGATGCACCCTTTTCTGAGGCCAGGTCGAGAACAGGGGCCAGCTCCCGGTGATCCGAGCGAAGAGCGTCAGCCATAGACTTGAACGCGCTCCGCTTCTCGGCCCGAACCGTCGCCTTGACCGTCCGGAGCCGAGTCAGAGAGTCGCCAAGAGACGACTCCTGCTCCAGCAGGCGAGACACGAGGCTAGCCGTGATCCTTCGGGATGAGGTGTACTGTTCAGCCACTGAACAAGGGTCTGCCATACCCAGTCCCCCAAGCCGGCAAGGCAGAGAGAGTAGGGAGCGAACAGTTGTCCCAGGTGGAGCCTGACCCGTGATGGCCGGGATGAGCCGACCGCTGATTGCACGTTCCAGCGGTTCAAGCAGGGACGGCGGGATGGAGGAGGTCCGGCAGAGGAAGGACCACTTGTTTTGCAGGCCCTGTGTGAAGGCGGAGTAGGCGGCCTGTGGCTGCGATGCAGCGATGGTCGTGAGCTGCGCAACTTCCTCACACCAGATGGCGACCTTGGACTGGACAAATTGTTCTACAAACTCATCCGTGCCCAAAGGTGCACCAAGGTGGCGGCAACCATCACACGTGACATGCACACCGGTCCCCTCGAACATCTCGACAGCAGCTGCGTACCTGGAGGGCTTGACCAGGAGGAGTGACTTCTGGGCATTGCAGTGGTAGCCATACCCGGGACTGTGGCTGACGAGATTGTCCCACCATTGGCGAACAGGCGTTAGCTTGCCACCGGCTGCAGCATCGTCCGCATACCAGCCCTGTTTCGCACCAGGCACTGCGATCATAGTACTAGAGTGTTCAGTATGATCATAGTACTAGAGTGTACAGTATGATCATAGTACTAGAGTGTACAGTATGATCATAGTACTAGAGTGTACAGTATGATCATAGTACTAGAGTGTACAGTATGATCATAGTACTAGAGTGTACAGTATGATCATAGTACTAGAGTGTACAGTATGATCATAGTACTAGAGTGTACAGTATGATCATAGTACTAGAGTGTACAGTATGATCATAGTTCTAGAGTGTACAGTATGATCATAGTACTAGAGTGTACAGTATGATCATAGTACTAGAGTGTACAGTATGATCATAGTACTAGAGTGTACAGTATGATCATAGTACTAGAGTGTACAGTATGATCATAGTACTAGAGTGTACAGTATGATCAAGGGTAACTAAGCTACCAAGAGTGTGCAACTCTTCAAACCCTTTCTATTGAGTCATGCAAAGGCAAAAACTCATATCACGTGGTTTTGAAGTCTGGGTGCTTAGCTTGATTGCTTAGTCTGGCTTAGTCTGAGTTAATCTGAGTGGTCAGTCTGGGTACTTAGCCTGGGTGGTCAGCATCAGGGGCGTCGGAACCGGTGTGGCTGGTACGACTAAAGCCGCACCAATAACTTTCAAAGTCGAAATTCTAAAAATCTTTTCTATTCTTTTTACAGGCCTGAAAAGGTATGGGGTATCTCATGCGTGCATACAAAATGTACGGTGCGCTGTGTGAACCTTTGCACCAGAGCATGGACAGAGGTGGCAAATCTCTGTAATCATGTACCGTGATGTCAGTTAATTGTTCTGACTCGAAGAGATGGATGGTTACCATGGTTACAATATTTTCTTCCTTTTAAGAATTGCACCCTATTGTACACGCATTGTACACGTATATTTATTCTCGGAGACCCCCTTGATTTAGGCTTCGGCCTTTGGGGAATCCCTCAAATAATAATAATAATAATAATAACCCCGAAATAGGAGATGCTCTTTTCCAAACCAGGTCACATGACTAGCCAAAGCGAGCCTTCGGGGTTAGCCAAGTTGTGTTCCGTGCATTCTTGCCATCTTGGTATGACAATTATCCGTGGTTGCATTGGGATATGAAGCGTAAACGAGTATTTTGCTTCACGTGCGTAAAGGCAGCTCGAGGAAAGCTCCTCTTCAGTACGAAGACCGACGCTGCGTTTATTTCAACTGGCTTTCAAAACTGGAAGTATGGTCCGAGAGGATTCTGGAAGTATCAGTCCAGCGACTGTCACAAGGAAGCTGTTGAAAAGTTGGAGACAACTCCTGAGACAACTGGTCACGTTGGTGAACTTCTCAACTCGCAGTTTTTGTCTGACCGTAAAGAGAATCGAGAGACTTTCCTCCTCATTCTTCGAAACATCAAGTATCTTGCTAGACAAGGGCTGTCTCTCTGAGGAGCATCGTAAGATGGAGGTGAAGTAGATAGTAAAGTAGACCTCAGCAAGTCATTGCAGTCTGCCAGTAGATAGCAATTTCCACCGGCTCCTGACCATCTTCAGCGAATTCCAACCGTCACTACAGAAGTTGCTAGAGAAGAAGAAGGGAAAATACACGAGTGCCGATATGATGAACAAAATGTTGAAGGTGATGGCACTCCAGATCCCCGTGGCCTTGCACTCAGTATCGGTGAAAGTAAGTTCACCATCATGGTGGATGAAACCACTGACTCCAGCTGTACGGAGCAGTGTGTAATTGTCATTCGATAGGTAGATTCGGAGCTCCATTATCTTTAGGAGTTCTGAGGATTTTATGCAATCGCAACGGCTAATGCTGACACTATTTTCAGCGTAATCAAGGATGCCCTGTTGAGGATCAACCTCAAGCTGGAGTGTTGTCGAGGCCAGTGTTATGATGGTGCCTCTACCATGAAAGGTAGCCGAACAGGAGTTGCCGCCCAGATCTTGGCAGAGGAGCCCAGGGCACTCACTGCTATTGGCATGCCCTGAATCTCGCTCTTCAGGACATGATCCGTAATGTCAAGCATTTAAGGGATGCGATGGACATCACATTTGAGCTCAGCAAGCTCCTTAAGTATTCTGCGAAACATACCGCTGAATACAAGCGCCTGAAAACTGAGCTTGTACCAAAAGAACCTGGATTCCGCACCTGGTGTCTGACCAGGTGGACAGTTCGAGCTGCATCTCTGAAGAGCATCCAGACCAACTAAAGCGTCCTACAACAGTGCCTGGAGTTGTTTACCGAGCTTGCAAAGAACGATAAGGAGATGTCAGCAAAGTGGAATGGTGTGAGGAGTCAATTGGCGAATTTTGACTTCCTCTTCGGTGTCTCTCTGGGTGCAAAAGTTCTATCCCTTGCTGATAACCTCAGCAAGTCATTGCAGTCTACCACCTTGTCTGCAAAGTGAAGGCCAAGCTATTGCAAAAGCTACTGTTGACACTCTCTTGCTTCTCCGTACTGACAGTAGTTTTGATGCTTTCTGGTCGAGCGTGATGGAGCTGCAGCAGTCAAATGACGTGCTTGAACCTCAACTACCAAGAAAGAGGAAGGTACCAGCAAGGCTCCAAGAAGGTACTGGTGCTCCCTCATACCCTGCTACAGTCGAGGCCTACAATCGCCCTGTGTACTTTGCTGCAGTTGACACAGTTGTGCAAGCCATCCGTCAGCGGTTTGACCAGGAAGGCGATTGCAAATACCGGAATTTGGAAGACCTTCTTCTCAAAGGCTGTGCTGGACGGGACTACAGTACAGAGCTAACAGCCATTGCCTCAATGTACAATGATGACATCCAGACGGATCTCATTCATGACCAGCTGCCAGTCCTTCATGCGCATTGCGTTGCTGAAGGTGATGGTGCACCGACCGTGCTGAGTGTTGTGTCTTACCTGCAGTCTTTGTTCAGTCGTCAGTTATTCTTGTCAGAAGTGTGTGTCCTGCTCCAGCTGCTGCGGATATCACCAGCCACTAATGCCACCAGTGAGCGCTCATTCTCGCTCCACATATACTGGAACACACAGAGACATAGACAGCAATAGCGACACTGCACAAAGTGAAGGGAAGTTGGCCGCAGCCAGATGTGAACCGGATAATGAGTGAGGTATGGAAGCAAGGACTGAGAAC